ACACACTTGTAATCCCAGCAGCTCAGGAGGCTGAAGCAGGAGGGATCTCAAGTTCAAAGCCAGCTTTAGGAACTTAGCAAGGCCCTGTCTCAAAATAAACATAAGAGGGGCTGGGATATTGCTCAGTGGTTAAGGACTCCTGGGTTCAATCCCTGATACTACTACTACTACTACTACTACTAATAATAATAATAATAATAATCTTTCCTTGTTAGAAAATTTCTTTTTTTAGCTGCAAAAGTGGTCGAGGACTGTAATTCTGAATATGCATTGAACAAACCCTTAACTATATAAAGATAAGCAAAGATATATCAGGCAATTTAATTTTATACAAAGAAGAAAAACTTGACATATGAGACTTATAGATCATTCTAAATCAGTACTTTTATATCTATAATCAGACAACATTTAATGAAGTGAAAATTCTGCCTACATGAAACTAGTCATAATAAAATTAGATTTGGTATGTTCTTTCATGGAGCACATATTCCAGATGTTTAAGTGATTCAAAGAAAACCTACAGTATAATGGCTCCTTTCAATGTTTTCTCACTTACTGCCTCCAAACTAGAATAAAAACTAATGAAATTCTGGCATCATTTAAATAGTACATCAGCTCAGCTAACTACTTTTTGACATTTTATGTATAGTGTTTAATAATTTAAGCATAAATTTATGCATACTACATTAGAAGTGCTAATATTTTAAATCTAGTCAAACTGAGTATTACATTCATTTAAGTGACATGGTACCTGTACTCACCCTTTACATGTTTTGTGATTCAGCATTTAGGGAGCCATATTTCTTGTTGTGTTCACTTTTAGATGTTGACAGCATATGCTACGAGCCATCCATTGGTGGAGTACAACTGCCACCAGAACCAAGGTCTAATGCCAAAAAACATTGATTTGACTGTCTCCTTGGTAACACTCTCCTACCTCCTTATCTTTGCATATTTTCTACCATCAGTTATCTCCTTTTTCTATATCCATGTGTCTAATGCCCTCATGATGATTTCTAGCTGGTTATTCCATCAAGATACCTCCCCAAAGTGAACCTTTACCCCAAATTACACTTTATCAACATACCTCTCCACAATCAAAGCTTTCATTATCATATACCTTAACAGAAATTTAGGCATTTGGATTAAATGAAATATTTGGCTTTTTTCTTAATTAGTGATAGTACCAGTAGCAACAGCATATGTAGTAAAATAATAGTAGTAGTAAAAATCCATAATAGATGCTATCTCTTCCAACTCATTTAGGACTCATACTTCAACAGTTAATGGGAAAAATGAGTTAAAGGGGGGATCACAAAAATATGGCTTAAAACTTTAATCTAAAATTGTCACAAATATTTTAATGTTGTGTGATGGCCTTTTCTTTGAATGCAGATCCACTAATTGAATTCTCTGTAAGTCACACTGATAATATGAACTTTTTGATGTCCTCTTCTCATTTCTTTAATATAGAAAAAGTCCTTCAGAAATCATGTGAGCATTCTGAATACAGATTCCTCGTAAATTTTAGGGTTGTTTTCTTAATATTTCACAGTTTTTTCATGCACACCTACTTAATAATATTCATTTTCTTTAGAAGTTTCCAGAGTATTTGATAGAACTTGTTTTCCAAGAAATAACAATTTTTTCTCTTTAGATGACTTGTTCTTTGATTTGGGAAATCTCTAATTAAATTAGTAACTGGAGCACTAACAGTAAAATAAAGTTTTGAGAACACATATCCAACTGACAGTTATGTACATGACTAAAAATTAATGAGCAAGGTCATGCAAACTGTCAACCACATCAAATATTTTTATTTTGAGACTCTTATAGACTCCAGTCTCTAAATGGAAACTGGTGAGTTATAGTTTAGGTCACTTTAGAGAACCTCGATTATCACTACTAGAAGGCAACAAGAATAAAGAAAAGAAAAAGCCATAGGATCTCAATAACGATGTTGGGGGGGATATTTTAAAAAGAAAAGAAAAAAGAGATGGGCTGGGAATATAGCTCAGTGGTACAGTGTTTGTCTACCACAGACAAGGTCCTGGTTTCAATCTCTACTACTCCAAAAAAAAAAAAAAAAAAGGAAGTGGGGAGGAAGAGTTTTGTGAATAATTATGAATACAGTAACTTAAATTTCTTAATCCATTTTATCCTACAAAACATTGATGCAGCATTAAAAACTGCTCAGGAGGGCTGAGGTTGTGGCTTAGTGGTAGGGCATTTACCTAGCATGTGTGAGGCACTGGGTTGGATCTTTAGCACCACATAAAAATAAATAAATGAAATAAAGATATTGTGTCAATCTACACCTAAAAAAATAATAACTTCCCAGGATTTTGGAAGAGAAAGTGAAAATTGAAAATTCTAATAAGAGACATTAAAACATGTACATTATATAAGCTAAAGGGAGCTGAATTGTAATATGACTTATTTGGAATGGAAACACAACTTAATGGCTAAGCCCTTCTCTGGGGAACAGAGATGTTTAGCACAAAGAGTTCACCTACAGTATTAACAGATTCTGTCCACTATTCTGCCATCTCCACAGTGGTTCCTGTTTGTAGTTCTACCTCACATGATATTTATTTGTTGTTACTAGAAACGCATGTTATTTTCCAGAAGAGAATGGTTTCATTTGGTAATCACCATCCTTGTCCAGGTTTCCCCACTGACATTTAAGAAATCTGATTTCTAAAATTTCTTTTACACAAAACAAAATCATTATGGATCATTTCCTTTTAGAGATTTGAATTCACATATATGGATTTTGACCACTTTCTTCCATGGACACTTAATTCTGATTCTTTTAATCCATGTATTTACTCATAAGGAAATGGAATAATATTTACTATCAACCCCTATAAAATGTTTTTAATTTCAGACTGATTCCTGTGGCATTCCACTGACATGTTGATTAAAGATGAGTACATAACATGAATTTTTTGCACATATATCATCAGAAGGGACTCTTTATTTTTTATTACTATATACAACTCGCATACATGAAATCAATCATTTTGAAGTATTCTATTTAGTGCTGTTTAGCATATTCACAAGGTTGTATCACTAATATGAGAACACTTTCATCACCCCCAAAAGAAATCCCCAATTTTAATATAATGTTTTAAATAAGCACATTTAGCCAGGTGTGGTGGCACATGTCTGTAATCATAATGACCCAGGAGGCTGAGGCAGGAAGATAACAAGTTTAAGGTCAACCTCAGCAAATTAGTGAGGCCATAAGCAACATAGTGAGACCCTGTCTCAAAATTTAAAAAAAATAAAAAATAAAAAGGCTGAGGGTGTTGTTTGGTGGTAAAGGGTTCAATCCCTATTACCAAAAATAAAGAAGCACTTTAAAAACCACAAAATCAACAGAGTGGTTGTCACAATATCTTTTGTTTGAGAACCATACAAGAGTCATATAGTTCATACACACCACATTTCATTGATGAAATATTGAGGTTGATCTGAGAGTATAATGCCATTCTTAATTTGAATGTGTATCTGGCTTGCATTTAGCATGGGATGGCATGCAGGGTTATAGAAGACGTCAGTGTAAACAATAGTTTTACCAACACAGTAAACCAGACAGAAATAACACCTGCCTATATCAAGCAAGTGAAAATAGCACGTAGAGTCAAGTAAGTGATGTTGTCCTTGTGCACAGACATTACATTACACAAACTGTTCTAAGTGAGGGAATTTGTCCCTTAGAAATTGCTCATTGGAACATTTGGACATCATGCATCATGTTAAAGATCCATAAATGCCATCTCAATAGGGTAGATATGATGCATGATAATATCCTCCCCATATCTGCATACGGTTCTTCTGCTCAACAGATTGTCATGATGCATTGCATCGGAGACTCCTGCTCTAGTGCTTCAGAGACAGCTGAGAAGTCCCACGGGAGCCTTCAGAAGTCATTGCTACAGGAGTAAAATACCAGGAGAACAGAAAGTCATTCCTAGTTCTTGACAAAATACCTGCGTCCCTAAATGAAACTATTTATTATGTGGTTGATATGAAGTATGAATGCAATATTATATGATCGAGTGTATCTTTTTATTGTAAAAAATAAGAATCCATTTCTGGTTGTGAGATGAGTAGAATTTAGAATCTAGCCGCACCATATTTTTTACTGTTATTTTGCCAGTCCAAAATTTCTTTGAACAGGTATATGACATGATAGTTAAGAATATGCACTAGGATACCTGCATAGGTATCCTAGGTTACTCAGTTATTACATATGGGACCTTGGTGATATCTAACATCTGCAAGTCTGTTTTCTCATGTGTAAAATGAGAATTCTCCAATTATCAGTCTCATATAATTGTTTTGTAGGAATAAAATTAGTCTACATGTGGATAAAGCTTACCACAGAACTAGGAACTTAAAAAAGTGCTCAAAAATATTAGTTATCATTAACAAATGTCCATTATTATAATACTGCCACCAAAAATGTTTTAGTCTATCTGGGCTGCTATAACAAAAAATTCCATAAACTGGGTGGCTGTAAACAACAGATATTTATTTCTTACATTTTTGGAGGTTGTGAATCCTAGACCAAGGCACTGACAGATTTGGTGTCTGGTGAGGACCAATTCTTTAGGGACATCACCTTCTCCCTGCATCCTCACATGATTATAGGAGCTATCTAGCTCTCTGAGGTCTCTTTCATAAGGCCACTAACCCCCAAAACCACCTCCTCCAAAGCTCCACATCCTAACACAATTGCCTTAGGGGTTAGGATATCTTTTTTATTATTATTACTTTTTAGGACTTCAACATATAAATTTTGGAGCAATCACACATTCAGGTCATAGCACAGAATGAACATCACTGACACTAAACCCCAAAAAACAATAAGATATCTTGTATTTCTTTGCCTTCAATATTTCTTTGCCTTCAATATTCTCATCTTCCAATTTTTGTCTCTTTGCTTTAATATTCTCATCTTCCAATTTGCTCTTGACTATTTTACACAGGCACTTCGGGGAGAGATTGCACCTCTAAAAGAGAATGTAAGCCACGTCAATGATCTTGCTCGCCAGTTGACCACATTGGGCATTCAGCTCTCACCATATAACCTCAGCACTCTGGAAGACCTGAACACCAGATGGAAACTACTACAGGTAGATACATTATAAGCATTGTTGTTCCTTGTTACAAAAAGATATCAAACAGCTAAAACTTACTTATAAGGAACAATGTAATATAAGTAATATCTTTATTTGATGTTCACAATAATGTTTTGTGAGGATTAGATAGTGTATATTATTTGGTAAGTTCCTATGTAAATATTTTCAAACTGTTATTAATTTTGGAAATGGCTAAAAGTTGAACTTCTACATGTTGTGCAATAAATATGAAAGAGAATGCTGAATTGTGATGGAAGAATTGAATTGCTAGCAGATAGTTCCTTTGTATTATTATTTCTTGGATTCTTAAAATACCTTTTCCTTTTGAATCATAATTTAAATAAAGTCAGTAGTTAGATATGTTCTAAAATTGTTTGAATGAAGAACATCTCATCACAAACCCATACATGGAACTTTTTCATAGGTTTTCCTAATGAATACAGGGAATAGAAATATTCTCAAGGTCACGCTTATTAGCTGTGGGACCTTGGGCAATTTACTTAACCTTTCTGTGACTCAATCTTTCATCTGAAAAAAGGGAAAATAAAATTCTCTATAGTATCAGTTTATTATAAGAATGAATAACTCATAGTAAATATAAAATGCTTGAAACGGAACCTGCTACATAGTAAACACTGTAAATTCTAGCTCTTGGTGTTATTTGATTAAGATTCTTACACTACAAAGGGTTGAGAATATGATGTTTTAGTTGAGTGACCTTGAAGCCATTTAACATATCTTTTGTCAGATTCCTCATCTCCAACACAGTTGCTATAATTATGAATGAGCTAGTTGATGTAGAGTTCTTTGTATTTGGTTCATAGTAAGAACTCAGAAAATGGCTGTAGTGGAGGTGTCTCTGTATTCCCTATGTGTATGATAATTATTTCTCCAAACTACAAAACTCGTTTAATCACAGACTTAGGGAATCATTTTCTCTCCTTTTCCAACTTCATAGGATGCAGATAGTGTGCTCCTGAGAACAGAGGAAAAAACTGAGTTTAAAAATATTTGCTGTCAAAGTTTTAATAAGAAAAAAATAATAAACCAGATTACTTTCCTATTGACAGTCCATTTAGGGGTGTGATTGAAAGTTCTGTTAAAGAATTGCTAGATCTTTAATAAAAACAAGCTCCAAATTCAAGACCTCTTGGGATCTCGTATAATTTAATTCTTCTTTTGATGGATAGTCTTGAAATATTTGTATGATATATTGTTATAAGTGGCATTGACTAAAGCCTGGCAATATAGTTAAGTGATTATATGCCATTCTCTGTCTGCTCCACAGTAGTTCAGTACTATTAAAATCTTATCAGTTTCATGGGACTGGGGTTGTATGTAGCTCAGCAATAGAGCACTTGCCTAGCACATGTGAGGAACTGGGTTTGATCCTCAGAATGACATAAAAATAAATAAATAAAATAAAGGTATTGTGTCTATCTACAACTAAAAACAAACCTTATCAGTTTCATCCTTAGTATGTTTTTAATTTTAAGCACAAATAAGGAAAGTGTCAAAGAAAACCAATGGCCACATTTGTTCCATTCAAGTGTTCTCAAATTATATTTTAAAATTTCTTTTAGATAGCTGAATGCCACATTTGCTTTTGAAATATGGTAAAGATTTGTGACAGCTGCATGTAAATTTATAAATAAGGTCAAAAGATTATAACTGAAAGGAAATGTTCTTTTAAAACTTAATGCTAAGGGCTGGGGTTGTAGCTCAGTGACAGAGCACTTGCTTAGCATGTGTGAGGCACTGGATTCAATTCTCCGCACCACATAAAAATAAATAAAATAAAGGTTCGTCAACAACTAAAAAAATATTTTTTTAAAAATCAGTGCTAAATGATCCATTCCACTTGAACTACTTATTTAGATGTAAAGTGTAAGAAAATATTTATAGCTGAATTTTCCATTCTTTGAAATGACTAAAGACTTGGCCATAAGTATAGGGAAGAACATGTGAGGAAATTGTGTGGTGGAGTAAAAAAGAGCATTGAATGAGGCCTAACTTTAAACTAAAGTTCAGTTATTCTTTAACCATGTTATCCTGGCAAAGCCAGTTACTTCTCCCAGCTTCAATATCCTCACTTTGAAAATGAGATAATTCATTTGTCTGAAGTTACATTTGGTTCAATTCTAGAATTATGTATCTGGATATATAGAGGAGATTCACATATGACAAAATTTAGTTTAGAACCAATGAAGATGCTTCTTTTTATTCATAATACAGATGTAGCTTACTGGAATTACTTTTCAGTCTTTAAATGTTTAACCCTTTACCCCAAGCCTATACATATGTTAATTCAATCAGTTTGTGTTATATGCTTCTTTTGTAGCAAATTTCACATTTCTATCTTTGAACATGGTCTTAAGAATATGCTTTGAAAGTGTTTATAGCACAAAGCTGATAAGTCTGAGGTTTTGGTTTGCACATAACTGAGTCAAGTTGATTCCATTATTTTTTTTTATGTGTGTGTGTGTGTGGTGCTGGGGATTGAACCCAGGGCCTTGTGCATGCAAGACAGGAACTCTACCAACTGAGCTATATCCCCAGCCCCATGATTCCACTCTTTGACCATAATTCTAATCTAGATGTCAGTCCTTGTTCAGAAAGAGAACAAAGCAAAGAAATGATGTTTATGTCAAGTTTATTCCTATTACTGGAAGAGCCACTTATAGTCCTGTTGAGAACATTTTACATTTATAAGAATGTATATAACTAAAGCATTACCCTGCTTCTATGGTGGCAAGCGCAAGTCCATCATTGTCATGACATCGTATTTGTATAAAAATAATTTATTTCCTTACTATGCTATGTCAGTTAGCTAAAATCATGTTAAAGACTAAGAATGAGTTCATAATTCCCTCTGATAAGATAAAGAAAAATGGAAAAGCAGAGAGTTGGAGTAGTGGGAGGCAGATATAAACAAAAGAAAACAAAAATAGGCCAGACACACAGGCACATGCCTGTAATCCCTACTATTCAAGAGACTGAGGCAGGAGGATCACAAAGTCAAGGCCGGTCTGGGAAATTTAGCAAAACCCTGTCTTAAAAAATAAAAAAAAAGGTCTGGAGATATAGCTCAGTGACAGAGTGTCCCTGAGTTCGATCCCCAGTACCACAAGGAAAACAAAACAAACAAACAAACCAGAAAGGGTCTTAATTTGTGGTAAAATAGTGTAATACAAGGAATAGAGTCACATGCTATCAGGTTTGTCTCTCTTGATATCAGAATATCCCGGGTTTAATCACATGATATATTAATTTTGATTTTTAAAGAAAGTCATACTGGTATTTTAGTTATATGTAAAATGGGTGAAAGTGGTGGAACCAGATTAGCAAGTATAGGTGTGTTCATCAGAAAAGTAAAGCACAGTCCCAAATGACCAATATATATAGAAATAGAATTGAGTATACAGAGAATTGCATTTTGAATCCACATATGGAAGTACAAGAGACATTGCTTAGCTTGTTTCAAACTTTCTGTGGGAATAAAATACTATTTTCTCCCTCAGAGTGCTCATTGGTATGGATGTCACTACTTGACCATTCGACAGTGTTTATGCTATTGGAAACCATCATTTTTTTCAGTTTTTTATTTGTTCTTTTTAGTTATACATGACAGTGGAGTGTATTTTGACATATCATATATACCTGGAGTATAACTTCTTATTCTTGTGGTTACACATGATGTTGAGTTATACTAGTCGTGTATTCATATATGATAGCATGTGACTCTATTCCTTGTATTACACTATTAACATCTCCCCTCTCTTCCCTTTATTCTCCTTTATCTAATCCAGTGAACTTATATTCTTCCCCTCCCTACCCTCCCTTGTTGTGGATAGGCATCTGCATATTAGAGAGAACATTCAACCTTTGGTTTGGGAGGATTGGCTTATTTCACTTAGCATGGTATTCTCCAGTTCCATCCATTTATCAGCAAATGCTGGTAATCTCATTCTTTTTATGGCTGAGTAATATTCCATTGTGACATGTACCACATTTCTTTATCCATTCATTTGCTGAAGGGCATCTAGGTTGGTTCCATAGCTTAGCTATTGTGAATTGAGCTGCTCTAAACATTGATACAGCTGTGTCACTATAGTATACCAATTTTAAGTCCTTTGGGTATATGCCAAGGAGTGGGATAACTGGGTAAAATGGTGGTTCCACTCAAAGTTTTCTGATGACTCTCCTTGTTTCTTTCCAGAGTAGTTGCACCAATTTGCAGTCCCACCAGCAATATATGAATGAACCTTTTCCCCCACATTCTCGCCAACATTGTTACTTGTATTCTTGATAATTGCCATTCTGACTGGAATAAGACAAAATCTCAGTGTAGTGTACTTTTAATTTGCATTTCACTATTTGCAAGAGATGTTGAACATTTTATATATTTGTTTACCAATCATATTTCTTCTGTGAAGTGTCTATTCAGTTCCTTTGCCTATTTATTGATTGGGTTATTTGTGTTTTTTTGGTGTTAAGGAAATCATCATTTTTTTCAGTTACAAAGAGTTCTCATCTACTCTCTCACTTAACCCTCACAACATTATGTATTGTGATTATAATTATATTTTATGATTAGTCAGTTTTATAATGTAAGGAAACTAAGACTTAGAAACATTAAGTGACACAACTACAGTCACATCACTTGTGTCAATCAGGATCTGAATCAGGTCTTCTAATCTACCCTTTTTTGTTTCCTCCTTTTAAAGTCCTATTAATTTTGGACTTAACAAAGTCATAATTTAAAGCTATTTTAGCAACACACATGTAAAGTACTTCATTTTTATACTTAAATGATTCTCAGGTATATTAACTTTGAAATCTTCCTTTTAACAAACCAACAGATTAATGAGCCCAGTTCATTGTCCCCCTAAAAAATCACACTTGTAGTTTCAAATATAAAATTTTAAAGTATTATATTCCTCATTGCCTTTAGAGCTCAGAAATTGTAGTAAAACCAACCAAAAGTGATTTTA